AAAGTTACAGCACTGTTTTCAATAGGTTTGCAGTCCCAAATCTACTGACTAATGTTTCACACTGTGAACATCTCTCACTGATCTCACCAAGTCAGCAATGCTTGCTGTTATACGTCCCTTTCTGGCTTCATACCATGCAGGATCACATTGGAGAAGGTTTTTTTAGAATTTCTACATGCTGCTCTGTTGTATTTTGGGTTAAATAATCTAAAAACATCATGTTACTTCCTGAATATATGTAAGTTGTATAAATCTCTTGCATCGTCGGCACATTAGTCACAGGCGATAGTTGTGGATCTTTCACTATTCAGAAATAATGCACCGGGAAGAGATTCTTCACATACTTGTAAAAAATGTAGTCATATTTACTATTCATACTTGAGTGAATAAGAGGGAGGGGACTTGTTTTCTTTTCTCTTTTGTTTTATTGCCTAAAATAAAGTGGTGGGTAATGAGTTGTCTAACAATATGACAGAAAGGGAGTACTGGTAAATAGATACTTTTGGATATCTGCTTTCAGAGTATACAGCAGACTGAGCTATATCAGCCGACAGGCTGTTAGTTAATGAAATATGTTGCCACCGTGTTGGGAAGAAAGTAAAATTTACAATAGGTACATCCATTTTCCCAAGCGCCCCTCACCATTTTTAAAATGGTTACCTCTTAAGAAAATCAGCACCTCACCCTTTATAAATGCTCTTGCATTTTGAGAATGTCTGTATTGTTCACTGTTCTCAGTGGTCTGTAGTTTTTAGGTTGGGGACCAAGTTTCTTTGGTGCTGTTTTATCTCTGAGATAATCAAGGTTTTCCACCTCAACTGGGATGGATGTTTTCCGGGGCTTAGTCCACACACAAGTCTCATCGGTACCTACTGCAGTTCCCCTGTCAGTCTGCCTGTCTATGTATTCAGCGACTGCAAATAGTAGAGCAGCTGTGTGCTTGCAGGAACCATCATCACTAATAGAAAAATAAATATAAAGTATTTTAATGGAGGAAACCAATAAACAAATATTTCACCATATAACCATAATTTATTTTAGTTTGTATAGTTAAAAACAGGGGACGAGAGAAAATGGATGGCATACACTACACTTGTTCTAAGATGTGGGAAGGAGTGATTAAAACTTTAAAGCATTCTTTAATACTAAAATATACTGTTATTTACAACTTTATATTTACATGCTAATTTTTGTAAACAACACAGATCTTTTCAAATTAATTATGTTTGCATCAGTACATTAATATCAACAAAACACTACATGTAGTTTCTCAAAGATATGAATGTTTGAACTACATAGTACATGTATGATAATTACATGTATTATAATTACTGGTTTAGTAACACTTACGCTGCAACACAGCCACAACCAGCTGACATAACTTCAGCATCTGATGAAAGAAGTAGCAAGTATCGTACCACTGAGCAGTTTGGCGTTGTTCAGGTTTCACCTCAGCTTTGACATAGACGTGATCTATCAGCCCAGACACCTTTCCTAAAAGAACGTCCTTTACATGGTTATCCTTAAACATAAGATACCCATAGTCGTGTTTATATTTTGTCAGACGTTCCGGCGTCCACTCGCAGTTTCTTATTAAATACGCAAACACGTCACTAAGCGCAACTTTCGGGAGACAAGGAAGTTTTCGTGTTCACAGCACTTGTTTACCATTCAGGTCAACAGCAACAGTCCCGTCATCATTTAACACCCGCTGGCGTTTCCTCTCTGACTCATCATGATCACAGTCTTCATTAAGATCGTATATACCGCTTGCTTTTGGTGCCAATTCAACCAACTCATTTTTCTTCTTCCCAGCACATGGTATACGACGATTTTCTTGAATCGGGGACTCGCAGACGACTAAAGTCACAGAAGACCGCCATACAAATAAGCCTCTCAACGTTCTCCGCTGATATCGCCATTATTGCGATGTCGACACAGGAAGTGAGAAATACGTCTTTCCAGGTTATCCGCCGAGGGCGCACTTATGAAACGCGAGAATTAAATTGTCCATGAGAATTTTGTACAAGCCGCAATGTTTGACTGACCAGGAATCTAAAACAGGTTTTCCCACACTGGGAATTGAACCAGGGCCTTGGCGGTGAGAGCGCCAAATCCTAACAACTAGACCATATGGGATGTTGACGTATGAAGGCGTTTGCTATTTATAGGGAAACACAAGTAAGGCACACAATCGGATACTTGTGACATGAACTGAAACTCGTGTATTATTCACGCTCTTGTAATCGGATACTTGTAACATGAATCAAGGCGTTTCCTATTGATCGGGAAAACACAAATAAGGCGTACAATACTTGTGACATGAACTGAACTTCGTGTATTATATATTCTCTTGTAATCAAGCCAACAAATACGAGAGGCCAATTTACATCTTTTAATTAAATTGTCTATGAGAATTTTGTACAAGCCGCAATGTTCGACTTACCAGGAATCTAAAACAGGTTTTCCCACACGGAGAATTGAACCAGGGCCTTGGCGGTGAGAGCGCCAAATTCTAACAACTAGACCATATGGGACGTTGACGTATGAAGGCGTTCCCTATTTATCGGGAAAACACTTGTAAGGCATACAATAGGATATTTGTGACGTGAACTGAACGTTGTGTATTACATATGCTCTTGTAATCAAGCCAACAAATACGAGTGGCCAATTTTCATCTTTTAATTAAATTCTCTATGAGAATCTTGTACAAGCCGCGATGTTCAACTGACCAGGAATCTAAAACAGATGTTCCCACACCGGGAATTGAACCGGGCCTTGGCGTTGAAAGCGCCAAATCTTAACCACTAGAACCATGTGGGACCTTGACGTATGAAGGCGTTTCCTCTTTATCGGGAAAATACAACAATTACGGTTGGTTAATTTACATCTTTTAATTAAATTGTCTATGAGAATTTTGTACAAGCCGCGATGTTCGACTGACCAGGAATCTAAAACAGGTGTTCTCACACATCTTTTGACTTAACAATAAAACAATTAATATGAGTTAGGACTATTTAAAAATATGATATGGCATTTCAGGAACAAAACAATTATACCGATTATGCAAATTAACAAATATTTCTGTTTATTTCTGGACATACAACTATACATTGAATTTCAACACCTCTTCCCAATTGTTTTAAAATTTTCAATTAATTTGTGTTTTGTTTTAAAATTATGTCTGTATTTTCTGATATTTCAAATCGAACAATGGAAATAGACGTATAAGTTAAATACAAAAACAAGTAAAGCAAAAAACATAATCTCTTTTAGTTTCGTGAAAAGATGTTTTAAACTTTACCAGTTATTTGGTACACACTCGAATAAGAATGCGCATATCTTAATGCGAGGTTAGCAGTTAAATGGCACAGTCCATTTCGTATAAACTCTATGTAATGTAATTGCAGTGATGCTATTCTCTTATTTCATATCAAAATTAAAAAGAATGGCAATATACACACCATTTTTTGTGTATGAGTGCCCGGAACACCATGCATGTGTCTTTTGTAACACTATTGCAATTACAACTTTTTTTATGTGCAAAGCAAATTTAGTCTCGGTAATATTTTACCCGGAGTAAGAACAGAAGTTACGGTCACTGCAATTGTAATCACCAGAGGGACGCGCACCCGATTCTGTGCCGCAAACATTCGATATGGAAAATAACAAAGATAATACAATGTTCCGAATGGTTTTTGTCAGCCATCTTGGTACATGGCATCCTGCAGTTGGTTCACCGTAGTCCCTTCGCTTCAGTGGGTGTATATTTGTTGTATTTCTCTCAAGCTCATGTTTAGCATTTTGATTGTCCATACCATGGTATTGGCATATTGCATGGTGTGTTCACAGACAGGACATTAATACTATGAATATATTAATGATAAACGTATGCATTTCATTTTTCCCTAACATGACGCAGAGTTAAATAGTTCTCAGATGAACTATGTGTCAGAAACCTTTATTCTATGTTTTTGTCATATTACCTCAAACCCTGCAAATAGAAGTGTGCATGGAATCATGGGGAGAAACGGTGTGCATTACCGTGTGATAAAGGTGATTGACAGGTCATACTTGTTTTCAACTCTGAAAGGACAGTTGGAATCTACCAGGTGTGCGTTTAATTTACATAACAAAGGGTGTTTACAACTTTGGAGAGAGAATTGGAATCTACAAGCAGGTGTGCTGTTATTTGAATAACAAAGGGTGTTTATGATCTACTGAGTTGCCTACGTGACACAGCTGCTAGCATGATCACATTCTGATTGGCTCATGTGGAAACCCAGGTGGTATGACTGAATCTGGGCCATTCATGCCTTTAAATTGACAGTTGGGGGGCCATAATTTCAACTTAGTATCCTGTGTGTTGCTGCTATGATATTGTGAGACAAGTGATACAGGCTACAACCATCATTCTGTGAGACTTGTATGAACTTCTCTGCAATCTTCTGCTTCAGCGGTGCCCTCCAGAATACCAGCTTTCCTCTACAAGCAGGACTCCTGTATTTCCTCGTTGTGGTGTTGCAGAAGCAATTGACCGTCATTCATTTTTACATCCTGGAAATAGTGAATTTATTCATTGTATTTTTCTGTGATTTGTTACTTGTAATTATTTTGAATTAAAGCCAGGAGTTTTAACTCGATATTTTGGTGTATGTGTATTTCATTTCCAGTACTACTGTCTTGTCCACCCCATTCTAGCAGTGAACGACCCCCCTGTCCAGTGTGAGTTCTGTGGGTGGCCCTCTCATTAGCAATAAGCAGGCCTTACACTGTGACACTATGGTTTGTTTTCAAGAGATGGTTTTACACAAATTAAATGCTTAGATTTTATTTCACGTAAGGCCAGACTTTTTTATTCCTTGTTTCTCGAGTTTTTATAAAACATTTTTTTTTGAGAAGGGCGAAAACATTATATTTGTGTGCTTCGCAAAGAATTGTAAGTGAGATCATTGATCGGAGAGAAGAAATGAAATACAATTTTATTCCATGTATAACCTTGCTTCTCATCTGCGTGAGACTTCGGTATTTTGATCATGATACTCCCACGAAAATGCAACTTGGATTTGGCATGCGGCGGACGGTAAAAAATGAAGTAAACAATACAATTTGTTTAGCAATGTTTTGCGCTTACAAGTCGGCGGGCGCGAGAAATTACGCTGAAATAAACTTTTAATTTTATTTCATTTTGGGCTCCTGTTCATTCGGCGGGTTCGCGAAACAAGGGATAATAAAAGTCTGACCTAACTGTGTCGGCGTGTTCTCTGTCCTAATTGGCAATCACTGCTAGTGTTACCATGGCCTTATAACCCCCACAATAGATAAAGTCGTGGACCTTGACAACTCAAAAGATTCTTATCAAGGCATACGACACCGCCATTGTTGTGACGCTAGTATAAATGCGGTGCCGTGCAGCCACAATTTACCTCTGTTGCGCCTTGGTCCAAAATGAAGTGGTTATTACTGTTCGTCGCAATTGCAGTGACCAGTAAGTCGATTTACTACATATTTAAAGCATGGATGGTATTTGAGAAGCATCATAGTCAGACATGGCCGTGTTGTTGAGATCGCTGACTGCGCAGCATGCCTACAACGTATATACTGCATTGTTTACATTCACTCCTTGAAGCCACAGACAGTATAGATTAAACACAACGTTGTCACGGCATGGAAGATTCATGGCTGGTTCTTTATAAATTCTGTTGCTCAAAAATCACCATCCTGAACTACTACAAAGACTTAGTCCTTGAAAATCCGTCTGCCGGTGTATAATTTAAAACACACAAACGAGACTGTAACAACAGAACTTCAGTGTTTACAAATACTATTATTGAATGGCCGCATTCTCGTTGTTGGCGTGTATATCACCTCTAACAATATTTACTTGCATGTGTTGATTCCGCACATGCCATCCACACAGTTCTAATTATATTAATACTCTCTACTCATTACAGCTGCCACCATTACTACCAGCAAGAATGATGGTAAGTGACGTGTGCTGGGATCAATCGTTTTCACCATTCAATAAACTCGTGCCTTCGTACCCACAATCCAATACGATGTTTGGAAGACCTTGAAACCGTTTGACAAATTTGCCTATTGTTTCTTGTATTCTGGCAATGGCTGATCGTTTTATTACTGTAATGATTCGTTAATTGTTTTATTGTTTAGTTTTTTTTTTTATTATCTGAATATATCATCTGAATTTCTCGTGATTTAGATATTTCATGTCAACTAGATAATTGTTGACGCTAGTGAGGAGTTACTCGACTCTATCCATAGGAAATGGGGATGTGATCGAGTTTGTGTTTTAATTCCTTTCTTCCTGTTTGATAAGATTTGTAATTTGTTTTGCATAAATTTTCAGTAAAAGATTTGTTTCTCTTACGAAGTTTAACTCTTCAAGATAAACTATGCTTATGCAAATATATGTATTGCAGGAATACATTATACAACTACAAAATCTGAGACTACTGTGTGAATGAACTGCTCTGACAGTAGACGAACTTTTTGATTTTCTTTCTTCCATATATAACGCTTTCTAGAAAAATCATTGATAACGCCATTGACATCAATGTTCTTCATGAGTGTTCTAACATCAGCCACGTGTCTTCTATAATACTATTACAGCTACGTATTTTCAGAGTTGTGTATAATATTGTTTCTGTACATCAAAGTATATATATATATTCGGTCTCGAGTGGTGACAGTAGTGCCTTCATAGTTGTGAATAAATTATACATACATTTATGTTTAAACTCTTATAGCTAACAAGTATAAAGAGGGTAAGCAGTATACGTATCATTACGAAGGTTTGGTTAAAAATGGTCTCCCCAGCACTGGTAGAGAATACACGGGTCTTAAAATCACATGTAATCCACAGTTAACCTTCCTGACGAATGAAATAATAATACTGAAAGTAAGTATGACGTCATCTACATTCCCGTTGCCATATTCACTAATATGACGTCATCGGTATTCCCGTTGCCACAGTTACTCAGTGTTTTCGTATACATATGTATATATACTTCCCAACATTATCATTCAAGTTTACTGCTGCATTCCACAATTTGATAAAAATGAGATATGGTCTGGACAAGTTTTGTAATATGAGATTTATTTACTTTTTACAGATTTTTGTTTGGAGGAAGGGAATTTACTTTTCACAATATTTACAAGGTTATAAGGCATGCGTGTGTAGCATAGTTTATATTGCAAACACATAACAAACAGAGTAGAGTGGTGTCATACATTATTCGAAACGCACAAAAAAGATACATGTTGATATAACTGGTCGTGAACTGTGACAAACTTTATTGATTTAATTAAACATTTTTTTAAAAAAACACCCATCCAAGCAAGACAACATATACTTGCGCCCTAGGATTACAGCTTCTCGCGATAAATGTGACAATATGTTTTTTATTTTTTGTTTTGAATCATGATGTAATTATACTATGGTGATAGCAGCCTCTAACGTATAGCTAGAACAAAATGCAGCGCAGTTTAGATATTATATACAAATTTATATTTATATGATTTTCTTTTCTAAAAAACAAGAACGGCGATTTTCAGAACTCGACAAATATAAAATATATAATATATAACTAATTTAGTAAGAAGGAAAGTATAATGTCAAATTGATGAATATCTTTTCTGTTTAGCTTCGTTCTCCTCGACTTTATGAATACAACACAACACGTCACATTCATTACAAGGATTCCAGCCTTACCAATAAGTTCCACGAAGAACTTCTGACACCCATCAAGTTCTATTATATATATGGAAAGGTAAGGTATTTAGTTGCATTGCATAATATTATCCCGATTACTAATTTCTCTAACATGGGTATATCAGTGAAAATTGAAGTATCCCATTAGTTCATGGTATTTATGTAGACACGACTAATAAGACGTTTTTTTTTGAAAAAATCTTGAATGATTTGAAGAATTTACATTTGAAGGAAAATGAACGCCGCTCAGGTCAACTACAACATGGCGGACATCGTACAGCATCGATCGTTTATACCTGCGACCTGAATCATTCGCTTACGATGGGAATAGGTTTGGTTTAATTGTATTTGCATTTCATTACATTTGTTTGAATTTTTATTTTTGTGTAGATTATTATAATCATTTTTGACTGTGAACCGTTGCAAGACTGGATTGCGGTACCGTGATCATTTGGTTAGCAATGCAGTTGTGTTTATTTGAAACTTGTTTAGTAGAATATTATCATGAGGGAATCCTTCTCCGGGGTTCTCCACACGTGCCAGGGGGGAATCTCGTCTCGTCTCTCTATCGCGTCCCCTTGAGGTACGGGATCGGGAAAGTCGCTTAAGCTTTACAGTCAAATAGACACACACAACGAAATACGTTTCAACTCTCGTCTTAGTCGGTTAGTCGAGCACTCTATAAGACACAACGCCCTGGGGAAAAGTCCCCAAGACTATCGCAAGGCTGACCCAAGACTCTCTCTAGACTAGATTCTAGACTGCTAGTATGACCTAGAAGAAACAATTGCCGGCCATTGACCACAGAATGTAACACTACTTGATGGGCAATTAACACGTCTAACGGTCTCGACGAGATCTCGGCGCACGTCTCGGGGCTCTCACGGTCTCAACGAGATCTCGGCGCACGTCATGGGGCTCTCGCGATCTCAACGAGATCTCGACGGCCCCTTACGTCTATTGATTTAGAGCTAAGCTTGGTTTACTTTTGATAACTACGTTGAAAGTACATATGATTTGCATAAATAATTATTCAATTTTATTTCCAGTTGGTCTAACGTTGTCATAGTTAAAAACACAAAAGGCGAGTTCACAAAACCTATTGTTTTACTTGAAACGTAAATTATACAAATATATGATCTCAATGTATTATGAAATGAAAATCCGTTATATATTAACAGGTAGAGAAAGTTTTTGCCCCTGAACACGAACCTGAATGGACACTGAATATAAAGAAAGGTATTCTGAGTTTGTTAAACCTTGAGATGCTAGACATTGATGAAGACTTGTCTACGTTTACAACATATGAGGTAAGACTTGGATTTTTAGATCGATGTGTATACATTAAAACGTCTAAAATACTAGTATATAAATACATTGAATATAGTTTTGCTTAAGCATAATCTCTATACTTTTTTGTTTTGACTCAATCCAGACTGATGTTGTTGGCGAGTGTGAAACACTGTATGATGTTACCGAAGGATCAACTGACCTTGGTGTCAATTTCATGAATGTTACCAAGGTCAAGGACATGAACAAATGTATCAAGAATCCTGTCAGTGTGTCTTCGACCATCAAGACAAAGCCGTGTGGAAGTTGTGAAGATAAGCCAGAGGTAGAATTGTAGTACAGTGTATTTACTTATCAAATAATCGTTGTGTGTGCGACAAAGGTATTTCGACTAGCCAACTAGTCTTATATGTTGGTTACACATGGTAACTAATAGTAACCGTTCTGTGTTAAAAAGTGTTCATTTTTATTTTTAGGCATACTTTCTTTAAATGTGGCACTATAATTGAATAGAAATTTTATTCATTGAGTTATCTGTGTTTCCAGATTAATCTATTGCGGAGTGGTGTAGTATATCATTATAACGTTACCGGTACACGTGGTAACTTTCTGATCGACTCAGTCAGAGCTGAGGGTCAACACGTTTTCACGCCTTTCTCTGAAAGCGGTGGCAGTGCAGTTACCATAACAACGTAAGCTATTACATTTTGATTTATTTTAAACACGACCGCAGGGTTATACAATAATGGAATGACAGATATCTTTTCATTCAAACATATTTGCATAGCGTAGTTGTAAAAAATGGTCATTTTTTGCAAAATGTTTCGTTCTTAACCAAAAACGACTTGTTAAGTCAGACAATTGACTTATTTAATATATTAACTGTTGTCTTTTCTAACAGACAGAACATGACATTGATAAACGTTGAACATCACATCAATGAAATCGAAATTCCAGTCATGATGGAACGTGGTAATTTGATGTTTGTGTTCCCTAAAATTGAGATGCGAACAATCACTCGTGCATCTCAGCGAAAGGTAAGACAGTCCGTATTTTATTGTATGTGTGTTACATAATACATAATAAATAGGTAAGACAACACACGTAATTACCCTACTGTATAAGAAAAAAAGACAATATCAGATTTCGTTTCATCGCATTTCTTCTATTGTTCGCATTAGATTAACCTCAACATGTCAACATTGTACAATCGTCATGCACTCGATTAAACTCTTCGATCACCCTACTAAAGACACTAAAACATTCATCAACTCAGATAATATAAACTGAACTCCCTTATTTATTTTATACTTATATGAGTAATATTATTCCTCTTACTTAATATATGTTAAGGTTAATACACAAAGCCGCTAACAATAAGCATTTTGTAGTCTATAAACTGTGCACTGAATAAATAACGTTCTTTTACTCTCCTTATTGCGAGGTTGAACACTTCCTTGATCTCTTGACACATGGCACACCTGAGCTAATGATTACACCGGAAGCGCCAAGTCATTTCATCCTGCTGGTCAAGTCCCTGCGTGAGTGTGATCGTACAACGCTCATTGACATCTACGGTAATTACAAAGATAACATAGTCAAAAAGTAAGTTTCACTTATCTTTGTGACAGACGCGCAAACAAAATATTATTACAAAAGTATATAAATGTATGTCCTATATGGTTTGTATATGGCTGAAGTACGTACTGTCTGAGTGCTTGGTTTGACGTATTTCTGTGCTTTATGTTGTTTCCACTTCTGTATATGTATGTCTCGAACATATACTTCCCGCATTATATACATGTATTATTTCATATTTTATTTGAATGTACAGAGAATGGTTACTGAATGCCATGGCCATGACTGGTACCGTACATTCTGTCAAACTGATCAAAACACTGGTTGAAGACAAACTCATATCGACGACAGACCTTACCACGTTGCTAATCAACATGTTTGCTACCAAGAGACCAACTGAAACCATCTTAGACGATATCATGGTAAGTGCAATTTGTAATAGAATAGTATTCTCTCACATAAATGCAATGGATAAGTATAATATCCCCCAAAAAATATCTATAAGTCTATGTAACACAAAAAACACATTTAACTTCAAAACATAACATAAGCTGAGGAAGTTGGACAAAACATGTTGCGCCAATGAATCCACATAGTCATAGTTATTGTCTTATTGTTTCTATATTCATAAAACGTTTGAACATAATATAACAAAATCTAACTTATGAGAGCGAGACAAAAAACACAGATATTGCAGAACATGTAGAAAACCAAGACTTTGAAATATGGATGGAAAGATTAATCTTAATGTTTGCTTGTTTAGGTTGGGTTTAGTCAATTAAGGTAGAGATGCAGGTTCGTGGGCACTTGGGAGTGATTTTTTTTTTGCATATTTCAAACTACAGTGTCTATAAAAAAAAATACTAACAAAATTAAAAAAATAATACAATAAGCTTTCTGAAAATATATAGTTTTGTGGACAAGGGAGGTCATCTTAGTTTCCTAATTAACTAATTAAAATACCTGTCAGGTAAACTGCATCTCTACCTTAAGTTACATTAATGCATATTTATATTAGCACAGGTATAATTTTACATATAAAGCACGCTACTACACAATATATTGACCTATGTGACGAAAGTAATGCTTCGCAGAAAGCGCCAAATCAAGACTTACCACGAGTAGCTTGTTATATGTATTATCAAGATAATTTTCAACATTTACCATTAGACGATCTGCAAGTCTGATATGATGACGCTTCCAAATCTTAATCTTGCGGAGGTTTCTATGGAAACCATAAAGAGTGTGATTGAACTCCGTCGCAGTTGCTTCCTGACTTTTAGCATCCTTTTTGAGAAATTGTACAAAGATACTGAGTTCTTCCCAAGCAAGTACGAAATATTTCTTAGGAACTGCGAGTCTACTTACCAGGAACCAATCACTACAATCAACAAGGGTATCAAGGTAATACTACTGACATTTTTGGCATGCATATCTTTGGGGTAAGTAATATTTCAAATGGCGAATTTTATGATGAACAGAATCAGTACAAGGTGATTATTTGATTTGTCTTGGAACATTTGCATGAATCATCCAACTAGATTTACAATTTATCACAATTTACAATCTTCTCCTATAGTATATGGATTTCAATATGTACAAGGAAGATCCTTCAACAGTCAAGAAGAAGATCATTGCCGAGGAGACGAAGTTGATGTGTTTAAAATCCATGGGTAACGCCGGTCTTAAGAGTCACGTGGATAACATCGTCACTAAACTCAAGAATGAGATGAAAGATAATTCGTTGGAAGTCCGTGTTAACGCGATCTATGCGCTTCAACGAATTGCTCCAAAACTACCAAAGAAGGTTGGTATCAAGATATTGATGTGTGGTTTTGTGACAGTATTATATATTATACATATTAAATATTAACAATCATTATCAAATTTTAAAAAAGAAGTGAAAGACTATTTAATCCACTGTAATCATCCTTAGTCATATTCCAATATGTATATATAGAGGTATACAAATATGTATCTGTGTGTAAGCAAACCATTGTAAATAAGTTGTTTCTGTCTACTTGATTGCCCTTTTTAATTAATAGCTATTTAAAAATATATTTTGATGGGAAACAGACTAGACTAGCTCTGCATGAGCTAATTTCTGTTTCCCAGCCATAGATTAATATTATTATTATTTATCAATATTTATTAGTTATTATTCATTGTTGTATTGTTATTCGTTTATGTAATCTATGGCTAATAAACATTATTATTATTACCCTATATATAATATCACCAGATTATGTCTGTGCTGATGCCATTTTACCGCAATCCCGATGAAGATCCAGAGATACGCATTGTTTCATACTTGGCCATCCTCGAAACTAAACCGACACCATCCATCTATACACTGCTAGCTGAGCATCTGAATAAGGAAACAAGCAGACAAGTCGGTACCTTTGTCTATTCCCATCTCATGCACCTTGCCAATACCACGCACCCTTGCATGAAATATGAGTAAGTATCAGATGAAATACGTACAAGACGTGCACCAATTGGCAGCTCACATCTATCTAACAGCCATCTAACCAATAGGAGAATATTGTTCATTTCTTTGTTGCAGTCGTTTTGTTGTTGTTCATTGCTGTCTCATGGGTGAATTGCAAATACATTAACATGAGATAGTACAGTGAAGCTATATATTACAAATCGACGTTAGATATATTTAGTTACTGGTGGACAATAGTCCGAAACATGTTTGAACTTATGTTTGGAACAAAATTGTTTCCCGTTTCCACTCCCCAAGTCATAGCCATTTTGTTTTATTTGTCAATTTTCTTACCGCTTTCTAAGACATACTTACTCGATTTTGTTTAAAATTGGCACAAAGGCAAAACATATTATGCATGCCAATAGCTTTTGTCCCAATGACATTATCCATTCTTTATTTTGTGTCCTTGAATGCATCCAAATAAAGACGCCAATTTTAAAATATTGACAATGACTTGTGTGACATTGACATCAGGATATTAAAATGAACGGAATGCATCTGTTTGAGTGTCTGATGAACTGTGACTGTGTCTTAGCTACCTTGCATATATTTCAGATCGCAAGCTGCTCACATGGCTCTACGATTTGCTCGTCCATTTGTTGCTCCATTTGTCAGTAGTCTGCACTACTCTCATGGATTACACAAGTCTTTCTATAATGGTGAGTTGAATTAGAATACGTCATACACTGTAGTAGGACAGTACGGAAAAAATGATAATAAAAATGATTAACCATTAGCTTAGATTTTGAATAACTGGGGAAGGGAAAGATATATTATGGGGAAAATGTCGTTGTTGTTGTTGTTGTCGTCGTTGTCCTCGTTAATAATTGTTATTCTGTGCACAATAACTTTACTAATTTTATTCCAATTTCTTTCAAACTTGGCCATCAATATTAACGACAGATGTCCTGTGTGAAAATATCATGCAAAAATTGGGAAAATCTGATAAAATATTTTGACTGTTTCTACTTGACTAATCACTGGTGATACACATTCAGTAGGAATATCTCCCAAATCCCATGGAAATATTAGACTGTGTTTCAATGTTTCAATACGTTTTTGCACAGTCTGATACACATTTGCAAACCTATCAATAACATCTTTCCAGAAAACAAGATGTCAGATAATCGATATAAGCACTCCTATAAATTGGATGTTAAACTTTTCATCAAGATCTGAAACCAATAGAAGATTTTAGTTTAGTTTAAAGTTATTAAAACAAAAATAAAATTACATAAAAAGCAAAACATTGCATCCACATTTGAAAGGAAAACTGTTCTCAAAGTATGTATTCTGTATTTGACAAACAGTTCATTCGCAAAACTTTGTTTGTATATAATTTTCAGCTATTAGCACAGAATTATAGAGCTTTTATAATACTATTTTAAAAACGCACTTCAAAAACAATGATTGCAGTGTTTGAAGACGTGGATTATTTATGAGGCAACAGTATTTTTGACTTCTATCTTCACTGAACACCAACTAACTATGTGCATGCTTTATACAAAATATATGTTAACTTGCATGTTTTACGAATCTTTTCAGGTCAGAATGCAACACCTTTTTTCTGAGATGAGGCATTTGTTTTTATAATAAATATCTAAATTACTTTGAATAAAGCTGGAAATTGTGTCCCTTAGATAATTAAACGAATTCGACACCAATGTTGTAAGATGTTTACATTAATCAAGTACATTCAGTAGACTGCTTTACCACTGCCGTTTCAATCCTAAAACTTGTTATAATTCGAAACTTAATTATGACAACGTATATTCATATTGAAACAAACTATGATAAAGGAATTAATATTATACAACAAAGGGCAAGGGCACCAGAGTTCAACTATGTTTTTGTTCAACAGACAACTTGAAGATGGGCGGCTATGCTGATATCCATAATATTTTTACCCAGAGTTCAATTGTACCACGTTTCATCAAGACCAAAATTAATGTTAATATTTTCGGTCAAAATATTGATCTAATTGAGGTAAGGTGTATATCAGTTACTGTGTCGATACTAATGTACATCTACAATCAGTCAGTCAGTGTGTTGGTAGCGGCAGCATGTATTCCTTAATGTTTTCTTTGCAAGTTAAATGACACGTACAAATTCTGAAGAATACAAGTAGATATAGTTGTACGGCATCTCAGCCTGAAATGAATAACTAGAGAAGAAATCAAACAAATGAACATATAATAAACAAATATATTAAAATTTTCACTCTACTTTCTATATTACTTATACAGACTGGTATCCGCACTGAGGGCTTACAATACTTTGTGGAGAAAATCTTCGGACCAAAAGGATTCTGGGAGAAACGTCAATCTCTCTTTGACTTTTTAAAAAGGAGAAATGAACGTTCCATTGAAAAGAGTGCTATTCGCGATGAAATAGACATACTGAAAGAGAAGGTAAATTGTCAAATCAAAGCAGATTATACATGACTGGGCTGAATGTTTGTTTGCCTGGCTATTCTGCTTGATTCTTGTTATCTGTGGCATTAGAGATTCGGTTTGCTCGAGTCAATTCCGACGAGTTCATCACATAGTATTTGAGGCTGTTTTTGTTCGTAATTCTTTTTCTACGCTTGATAATTCAGGTTAAAAGTCGCTATCGCATGCCAGAAGAACCTAAGGGCAGTATGTATGTTAAAATGTTTGGTGATGAAATTTTTTACAAGGCATTCAACAAAGATGATATCAAGAATTTGCTGGTCGATGGCAAGATTATCCCAAACGATCGCAACATTGAGGAAACTCTGCGCCGTGGTGATAGCATCAACTACAAGAAAGGTAGGGAACTCCTTTGATGCGAAAAACTAATCTTTCTTTTTGACTCTCGATTCGAACTGCTCTAGCGAAACACATACATGAGTATTGCGTGCTGTCTTAACTTCGTTAATCTGCTGTTACTCTAGCTACCTTGTTGTTGGACACCGAATACCAAGAACCCACAATTCTCGGTATACCGGTCTCTCTTAACATCACATCCGGTCTTATTATGAAACTAAAAGCAATTGGTCGAGCTGAGGTCAAACCAGAACTTTTCACTCCAAAACCAACTGGAGTCAATGCACATGGTATTACTACTCCGAAGTAAGTACACTAGACATGTCATAACATCTTTAACGTTGGAGGTGATCCGGTGATTTGTCAATCGCAAGATAATTACAGGCCTGATTGGTTTAGTTCAGCTATAATCATAAATTACAAAACTATATTTCAGCAAATGTACTTAATGCAAGCCAAATCCAAAAATCTCATCAAAAGAGGCATGAAAGTTCGTCAAAATCGATTCTCACGTGCACGTTATAAGTAATTTATTATTCTCCAATATTCTAAAATCAATTTTGTTCCATGATTGTAGCATTATGATCACGATGCTCGGTAAGATGGGTGTTGATTGTACTTTGATGAAGACAGGCATTGCCCTAAATGCTACAACTCATGTGTACGTTCCAATAGAAGCGCGAGCTGAACTCAATATGGAGGACAACACGTACAAGGTCAATGTTGTCACTCAAGAAGAATACAAACGTGACCTCATAACTTTTGAGTAAGTAAACAATCATTGACTATGTAGTTTAAGATACATCAAATTATATTATTCAAAAAACAATCCAATGTTAAAGTTACTTAAGTTTGGGAATGTTATTTAAATGATGTAAATATAATCACCAAAATATAATTTCCCGAACACACTGTAGGTTTGTATTTCATATCACACTTATATTATACATATATTCTGTGGCACTTCCAACTTACGCATGCCTGTCTAGTCACTTTGAGTCCGCGTTCATTGAACGCTATTCGGAGTTGTTTTTTAAGACCATTGCTGTGAGTAGTGGACGTCACCATATAGTGGCGTGGCGTGTTTCCGTGTGAGTTCGAATCCCTTGTTACGTGTGTGGTTACACGTTCGTGTAATTCTTATATTTCATCCTATTGCGAGATTTATTTGTAAGAGTGACTCACAAAGCTTGGTCAATACGTCTGTGATTACACTTCCCATCTCTTGTATTAACAGGAAAGTTTTTTACATTTTTTTCCACAGACACAATTTGTATACTTACACGACTAAAATGGACAAGTCACTGGACCAATATACCAAGATAAATGGCGTTATAGTTAACACTATTAAACAGGTATCGATCTTACGAGCAGTTGGGAATTACTACCACTAGGTGTGGTATGAAAGTGAACTCTGCATTACATTACGGTGACCCTGTGTGCCAAAAATTGCATAGGAAAAATACTTAAATAAGTTCTTGAATAGAAAACTACTACAAACAAAAATACGTTGACAGTGCATTATAAAGCATAGTCAAATCAGCAGTGCCTACATAGATTAGCAACTACACTAAACATGCTAGACTCACACCGGCTATATAGCCTAATTATCTAATTAGACAAAATTAACATTTTAATTCTAGTTCATACAATACACATTCTAACCTCACTACAATCATATTCAATTATTGTTGTTTTCGTTTTCAGAACACAACGTGCTTGACCCTATTGAAGAATGCCTTTGCAATCTGCAGTGAATACAAATACGTACCACGCAAGCACGTCCATGACCCGATGTATTTGCTAACGGGTCCATCACATTTCCAGATATATAGTGTGAAGGGTTATGATATGCCAAAGGAATTGCAATTTGAGTTGAAGATTAAAGATACGCAAAGCCTTGAACCCGTTGTACGCGTGCTGAAATCGAACACTGTAAGTAAATAAACCTCAGACGCAAACGGTCGTCCATACTTGTTTCTGCGAGACTTTTGCATTAAATGTCGAATCAGATTCATGTACTTAGTGGCAGTGGAAAGTAACAGTGAAAAGTGGTAGATGTGTTTATTCGCTTATTCTTTCATGATAAATGCAACTATGAAATATTGCATTTATGGCTCATTCCTGGTATTTCACAATAATTGATAACGTGATCATATTATTATTAGTCGCACTGATAACATGATTATATAGTAAATAAATAGCGACATCTACGAGTGTGATGTGTTGTCAAGTCTGATTGAGTGACTGTAGGTAAATTTCGAAAGCACAATATCAAGTATTCATAAGCCAACGAATCCAAGAATTGTCGACATTGAGGGCGCACTAGTATACATTTCGACAGTACTATATATGTGAATTATATAAAGTGTGCAACAGACAAAGTGTATTTACGCAAAACACGCGCTTTGCGACAATGGGTAAGTAATAAATCACCATTTTAACTGAGCAACAATACATAGGAAGGGAAGGTTTGAAAAACAAAAGCGCTGGTGAAAACAGGGTTGAAGCATTTACTACAGAGGGCGCTGTTTCAATTTCAGAAGTATGAGCTGAAGTTTACAACGTTAGGGGCGCCAAAGGAGGAAACGTTCACATACAGAATGAGAATGGACATCAGTCCAGAAGAACGCAAACTTGAATTGATCCATATTCGTAGCAACGTTCCCGAATTTAAAAGCAAAATGAAACTGCAGATGACTAAGTTAATGAAGGTTAGCAAATAATCTATTTACTTGTTGACGGCATATCAGCATAACAATTCAAAGTTATGTTGTTTGTTTGTTTGTTCGTTGATGACACTGGAGCGGAGGTAGTCATATCATCGCTATCTACCTAATTAGCTAGTTAGAATTACTGCAATTCCCTAATTCTGAATATTTGTGGAGAAATTACTTACATTTTGACCAAATCCGCAAGCTGCTTGCTTTGATATATACACACAGGGAGCAATGTATGTTTTGTGATGACGCTTTAAATTCTGTATTTCTAAAATATTATCTCCGTCGCATTACGATATCAACAATTTGCATTTTGTTACAACTTGCATTTCTTTATCAATCAATAAAGGCAAAATTGCAAATTCTGTTTTCAACTTTTTTTTCAAAAGCTATAAATTTATCATTTATTTTGGTCATCTTTTGTAATTTGTTTACTTCACTCGTGGCGTTGACGCTCGAAGAGACAGTGCATACTTCACAGAATGATAGATAAAAATGTATAAAACATTGCGCCAATAATTTTGAAATTGTTTGAACCGGACAATAATTATTGTTCTTCCTATTACTCAGGAGGTTATCTTTGATTGGGAGTTTGGTGAATCCAAACCTGTCAGACATCCTATCACCACCACAGACACCTTTGACAGCGAGCGTGAATACCGTCTCTTAATGATTACTACTTTACCGAAAACTGACTTGTCTGAGATGCACATCAAAACTGTCTACACTGAATTACCCACCACAATGAAAACGGTGAGTAATGTTTACATTATATGTATACAGCCAGTATTTGGTTTTAGATCGAATTACCTTGCAGGTACTTCAGTGTGGGAGAAACGTCATCTTCAATCAGTATATACTTATTATATATAACAAAATTGTTTATGCAGTTGCATCCAATAATCAAGGAAACCCTCAATGATTGGGCCTATGTTATTTATATTCAAACTCATCTTTCTCATTGGCAGATCATTTTATCAGCTAAATGTAAAACATTTTCTCGATGTTTCTAAAAATTATTTTTAATTTTCAGATACATTCATGTTTTTATTCGATTAGTTCAAAAAATTTCCAATTTGGGGATTTCTTTTTCACTTAAAAGAATTACAATTATCTCATTTTGTGTTAAAGAGGGGTGGTCGTCGCGCCGCGCAAGTGCGAAATTTGTGTTGATAGACATTGATTTTCCCACAGTTCCATGCGCTCTTCTAATGAAAATCCCTAGTATGAGTTTTGACCTGAGCGCGATGTGCATTAATTACCACCGGTGATTCCTTCGATACGTTCTAATCATCAAGGAAATTGCTCAGTTAAAGCTTGGTAATGTCTCAGTATGTAATTGTTGGTCTGCGCAACATTCTTTCATACGAGTCCCATATCTCGTACATGCGTGGCGTGGCGATCACCGCCCTTTAATTTAGACCAATTTTTATGTGATCTATATGAGGTAAGATATCAACAATCAAGAAGATTAAAACAAAGTAAATTTTGATCAATAAGGTCACACAAACATGGGTCTCATTTGTATTTAGTACATGGCTTCCCGATGTCGACTAGTTCCTAATGTAACTCAGAATTAGTAAAAGATGACGTACCACTTCTTGAATATTAGAATCCGTATACGAGATCCGTATACATTCTCAATGAGTTCACATATATGCTCTCATGCAAATCTGACCTGAAAGTCGTTGTATAAAATAATAGCATGTTTCGTCTTGTTTTGGGAAATTTTACCATTGTTTCCTGTGGTATGGATAATATTTCAAAATTGTGGCCAGTAACATATAAGAAAATGATGTTTTGTGTACAGTGTTTATAATGTATTGTTCGTGTATAAAATTATTAAAATATTGACGAAATGTGTTTTCACGGTGGTCAATGGAATCCATTTTTCTCAACAAACAGATTGCCAGTGAATTAATAAAAAAAAACGATAATTTATAGACAGACTTTAACACGATATGTATCACTACTGTATACTGTATTCTACCTCATATACGCATTATTTCTGTTGTCCCAAATTTCACTCTGACTAGCCAACAAATGATATGTTTCTGGTCAATAGCCGTATAATGAGTTAAAGCAATCCGTTTTTAGGGAAAACAACAATTTGTGTGTGTGTGTGTACATAATGATGTAATACGTATATTTCCCAGATCTGCTCAAAGATTGAAACCTTACTACCCAAGTATCTATACAAGATGTTTTACAACGTTGAGGTACATCCAACTAAACATGATATGTCGCACACAGTTGAACTATTCACCAAGCTGGTGACACCAGACAACATCATTGAGATGTTGTTGAAGACTCCGCTGCAGGAAATTCGTGTTAGGAACATCACTCTTCCAGTCCCCATCAAAAACTTGGTGCACAAGAAGATTCCTGGCAGTGTGGAAGGAATTAAAGATGCTATCCTGAGGAAAATGATCCTTCGTAAGTTTTTACTCACTAACACACAACTATCCAGTATCTAGTCCATTCATCTGCTGACTTTTAAAATGATATGGTCGACGCGCCGCGTCCAGTTCGATACGCGCTACGCGACGACCACCTACCTTTAAGGAAAGAAATGCTTTCCTCTGAAACAGTTTAGTAGAATATTTTCGTTTGATATTTACAGCAACTTGCATTGTTGAGAATAATGTGTTCAAGACATTCGACAATGTGACCTACATGTATGAGATGCCAGGTAGTTGCCTGCACGTGCTTGCCAAGGACTGCTCTCCTTCCGAACGTTTCGTCGTTCTTCTTCAAAACAAAAACGTTGTTGATCAGGTGAACGTTGAAAGGAATACAATTCGACGCAACAAGATCATTGCCTATGTGGATGACAATAAGATAGAGATGTACACAACTGCAGAACACAAAGTCATTGCCAGGGTAAGATAATTCATGCAAATAATTTAATGTTGTTGTTTTGTTTTGTTTTCTGCAGAGATGCGTAATTGAATTTTCATATACATATAAAGTTGGTAAATTGGCGGTCACTTTAGTCTTAAACGTGATATTCGTAATTTACCAGGCCTCAAACGTTTCTTGAGATGATTGGTCTAATTCCTTCCACATTTTGTTGGGCGACAATGAATATTGAGAGTTGTAGGTAAAACTTGTTGTTTTCGCATTCCGATTCCCCCCCCCCCCCCAACATACAGTACACCAATGAATACAATTTCGTGATAAGTATTTGTGCGATTTAATGAAAGATGATGGAATAACGGTCATCTTTGAATATGTACGCAAACTTTCATCTAAATATATCAGACTTGGGACAACTTCTATACATGACCGGTTATACTTCATTATATATGAATGATTTTTCTTGTTTATTTCTGTTATACATGAATTAATCAGCATTCTTCCTATCAAAGATGTCTGGTTTCTCATTTTCAACAGCTTGAGACATGAACGACATCATGCGATAGGTCTTCTCAGTTTTTAATCAATTCATGTGTCATTATAATTACATAAATGATCCAATGAAAGAAACACCCATTCGCTACATATTATTTAAATTAATGTTTTGTAAAATCAACATATGTTGTGATTGGTTTTAAAGCATCTCTTCATATTTTCCCCAGGTTAATAACGAGATTTTGAACTTCACTCCGGATAACAAGATGACTGTTGTTATGCCATCTTTTGGTAAATTCATGCACAATGGGACAGAAATCAACATGACAGCTGAGATCGGTCTTCACATTTACTACAGTGAGCACTACGTGCATACCCAGGTCACCGCGTGGTATTTCAATAAGACTTGTGGTAGGTACATAATTCTATCAGACTCGTCTTGGAAGGTTATTTTCGCTAGAAGTTGCAGTCAGTACGATAACACACTTCTTGGCAGAGAACTATTGTTCCAGTTCACTGTTCGGCTGCTATTTTGTTTTTATCCTTGTAACAATATATTATTGCGAAAGTCAAGGGTTACTTGATACAATCTTTGAACACTGTTTGTTTTACTGCAACTGCCCGTGTGTCACGCACATTTTCACCCAAGAGCCTGTAAACAGTTATTGTCTCCAGGAAATAATAGTATAGTGGAATGTTTACACAATAAATGCGCCAAATAACCACCATGATACGTTGGGCTTGTAATTAGTTAAACTACCCATTTAGCTTGAATAGTTGCTCGTCATACAGTAAAAAAGTACAACAGTACTTGGTAGGAGATTTTCAGATGAGAATTAGTTTTAAAAAAATCACCCAAAAAATGTGTATTACACAGCCAAGATACTGACAAATACATCTCGTACATTATTCTCCACAAGCTCACAACCACAACTCAAAATTATATTTAGACCAGTTTGAAGAGAATGTGTCAAGTAACTTGGACTAGATGTGTAAACCTGTAAATATAACGCAATAAACTCGCCAGTTATGTAAATACCTGCCCAAATCCTAGGAACAGCCTTATTAGCCCTGTTACATATTCACAATGGTCATATTGATAAAACTGCACACCCATATCACATGCAATATGTACGTCGTGTATTCATATATTGTGTTTTGTCCTGTGTATATGATATTTGTTCGCACGTCACACATCAACGTACAGTTATAAAAGGAAATACGCATATGCTCGCGTTGACAACATAATGGTGATATGTAGCACAATAGCGTTTGTTTCATTGACGTCACTGAGCATTATGTAATTAATTATTCATGAAAACGTACAATTCAGACAAACAAATGGATAAATAGTTACTAGAATAGCGATAGACGTGTTTTCATTTGTTGTGGCGTTGAAATATTTTCTCACGGGGTTTGTTTCAGACAATACTTTCTCTTGGAATGCACAACAAATCACCTAAATGACAGCAATGATATTGTTATGGAAGAGGTCAAAGATGGTTACCAAATTACCTTTCCAGATTACATGGCATCAAAATTAAATAGTTCATGATTTTAATTATCTAAGAGTACTAGTATATTGGTTGGAGTCTGGGGGGGCTTGTACATTCTATAATATATCTAAGCATGTCACTACCCATAAAACATGAATGACCTTGCATGAATATAGTCTTTCACTTCATAATGAGTTCATAAAAAAGTAGATTTTTATCTAGAAGGGGGAATTAATTCTATAAGTATTACATACGGTTTATTCTTGAAAATTGCATGTAAATATACCGTACAATCCGCCAGAAAATCACATTATTCGTAACGTTAATACAAAGGGGAGGTAAGTGCAACATTAGGTAGATTTGTGAAGTACTTGTTTATGTTTTAATTAACTAATTGATTGATTTTCAACATTCTATCATTTTTCAACATTTTACTATACTATATATATTATTTTACCACATATGACACTGGTATAATCAGACTAATGCACGCTATTTTTTCACTTTTGAAAATACAAATCAATAACATGCATATTTCGAGTACATTACATTCATGTGTCGATTTCTTTATCCAGCATGTTGTAATTTTATGTAATTGACAAACTAATTATTATTCATGATACTTGTTTTAATTTATGTATATTGATGTCAATATCAGACACTGTGTCCGTTTTTGAGGGATGAGGGGCTAAACACAAGCCAAATCGTTACACACCCTTGCCAATCATTCTATCACTTCTGCTTGTCAGGTCTATGTGGCGATTACAATGGTGAAACGTATAAAGAATTGATCACACCTACAGAGCAATCTGTCAAATCTACAGACAAGTTTGGCCTCAGCTGGTTAGTTGAAGGCGATGATTGTAACGATGAAGGTATGATACACGATAACAGCTAAACATTCTTATCTCTATTTTACCGTTCCATTGTAATATATCTTCAGGGCTATTTATGATGAAAGCATGTATAAGGAGGCGAACCATCTGAAATCTGAGATTGAAACATGCAATGATGAAGTTAATACTAGATAAGGTCACTCAGTGAAAATTTAGTGAATGGTACCATCTGGTTAAAAAATAGAAAAACGACAAATGGTATTATTATTATTATCACAGATTGCAAACTGATGAAGCAGAAAATATACCCATTAGATGAATATGTATATATCAATGAGAACGAGATGTCATGCTTCAGCGTGGAGCCAGTATTGACATGCCAGCCGGGATGTAGACCCACACAATTGACAGATTTGAACACCTATATGACTACCACACACATGGCTACCAAGACAAAGGTATCAATTGCAATAACATATACCATACTGACCTATGTATGTTGTTTTTGTTGTCTGTGATGTCAGATATTTTAAGTATGCATATTCGTCTAGTCACTGTATGAACGCGTTTGTTACACTCTATTTAGAGCCGTGTTTTGGGAGTTGTTTGGTTAGTGTGCTGTCGTGAGGTGCAAATGTGCTTACACTCGAGAGGCGTTCTGTAAGTTCGAATATCATGTGGTCCGTGTTATATTACAAGTATATATGTTAGAAGAGAATTCAAGTGTTTCATTGATTGACCATGAGTCAGTATGTGGTTAGTTTAGTTTATCAGGTATTTGATTTTATGGGAGGGTGGACGGATTTAATCTGTAAATGTATGATTGGTATGTGTTGTTGTCAGTTCATGTATGGCACTGTGTTGGATACAACACATTCAAAAACACAAATCTACAAGGACAGGAAGGAACATTTTCAGCATTGGAACTAAAATTGTAATTGTACTTGCATTCACCATGATGCGTGGAGAGATTTAACAGTCACACAAACCTGTTCTGAATCATTGTAAAATACAGTCATGCGATGCGATACTTTTTTTTTAAAACTGTCGTTTTGTTTAGGTGGGCTTCTACTGTGTGAAATTCAAGGAAAGTGAAATGATTCGAGATAGGATTGGAAAAAGAAACTTTGACCTGACTGCCAAGAAAATTGACATCACCAAAGAGATCAGCGTCCCACATGAGTGTATCTGTGAAGCACAGTGTAAACATTATCCATTTCTCCAATATTAAATTCCCAGCTTACATAGCGTTATACACTAAGTATAAATCGTGCTTCTGTACATATGCAATAAAATGACATGAAGTAATATTCACTTGATATATTGTGTGAGGCAGTGTAAAGATGTCTTTTCAATCACCCCGGAACAACATCGCCATATGTGCCCATGTCCATTATAATACTATACCACTTTTATACGCAACACATTTCCACCCCTCCTTCAAACATGTGAAACGATCGTACATTAACTAAAAAAGGGAGATATTCTTTGAAGCTGCTGGTTGTGAAGGGGAACAGAAACATTGTCAGATCACTCGGTGGTTTTAACATATTCTGACCATTATTCGACTCGTTGCCAGGGTTACATCTTATATCTCATTTCAAATGTATGATTTCATTCTTGATAGTATATTGTGACTTTTTTATAATCATTATAGATATGGTTGTCTATAAGTACTAATACAATCTGGATACCCTATCTCGCAATCCATAATGACAATTTGTAAGAACGCAAAACAATGAATACAGAACAATACACCACAAAGATAAGTGAAGCACAGGAAAAGTCTGTTATTTCGACGAGTGTGACCTCCTAACCTGCTCTATGATTGTTTACATCAGGCATTGTTGGTAGCATCTGTGTAACATAGTTGCTGCCTATGCTATTCCAGATTTGTAAGCTATGAAGAACCCAAAGGCGGAAGAGGCGGGAGGCTAGAACATTATACCTTGACATAAATAGAATGCCCAGAGCTATGCTGATTTGCAAATAGACGAGATCTTTTTTATTTATATGACACGCAGAATGTATTTTGTCTATTGTAAGACATTCGTAAAGTGGAAATTACAACATATCAATACGATAATCGTTTTTATCAAATTTCCAAATCCAAGGCAACAGTGGCAATGTCTGGCAAGCAATCGAAATGTACGACGCAATCGTTCAGACAGATTCAAATAACTGACATTGGAGAAAACACAAAGTGAATAATCAATTTAGTAAGTGAAAAATATATAGACCTCATGGTAAACAGGAAGTGATGTCAGGTGTTTTGAAAAGTGTTATCACAAATGGTATTCAGGGTAATTAAATTGTGGACGTGTCAGCTGAGTTATATTAAAAAGGGTATGTGTAATACATGACACAGAAATAAGTAAACCATGTAGTAGAAAGAATTGTGTATTTTTGTCTATTTAGATTCTGATTTGAAAACAAAGAATCATTTGAATCCAAATTGACAATTTAGCTTCTAGTTTAAATAATTCAGATCTATAAAACAACTAAATAACTTAAAAGGACAAACAGCTGCAATTACACACGGCGATTACACACTATATAACACTGAAGTTCAGCAATGAGATTTTGGGAATGTAGACTAAACCATATTCCGCCATTATCATCAATTAGTGGTGTAATAATTTGGGAAGATGAAGAACCCTAGTTTTGTTATTAGAAAGGAAACAACTTGGGTGTGTGTTTTTTTCTATGACCTATGACCAAGGTAATATTTGAATAAGCTTTTTCGAACAAAATGTTGTTGCCCCTCAAATAATATCCCATTCTCTTGGAATTAAATATATGATGCAAAAAATGTCTGTTTCATTGGACTTCACCTCAATAAATCAACCAATCAGAGAATCGCGAATTTAGGAAGAACTTAACGTATCGGAAACGCGTCAATGGATGTGCCAGGCGGTTGAGGAATTGCGGACAATTTCTGGTCGAAATTTAGAAAGCGGACTGATATGTTAGGACGGCTTTTCATACTGGTCAAGTAGCATAGAAAACAAAAGTGTTTGTCAAGTCAAGGCGTGCATGTTTTTGAGAGATACGTATTTCCCGTAGAAGTGCAATACCTCTTCTCGAATTATATATTATCAAGAGAGATATACACTACACTTTTTATCTGCATGGTTGCTGTGGCGCCTGTTGCTTTGTAATTACTAATAATAGCGAGGTAATTTGAAACGAATCATAAGTGCATTGCGAATGTGATTACCTGATAGGGGTTAAAGGTCAAGATGCATCAGGAGCGGGATTTGTTATACAGTTCTCGGGCAATTGCGTGTATAATTGCGTCTGGGCCAAATCATGCATTGGGAATGTTAGTCAGGAACTGGAAAAGAATTTGCTTTTTTTTATAAATATACATGTCATATCGTGTGGATTTTACGATGTGTCAGACGAGGCTGTCATCATTCAGCTCTGCAGACGCCGTGGACATTGTTTGAACGTCATCCATTCGAAATAAACGATGTTATTGATACTTGCGTAATTTGAGTTTATTCCACAAAAAACATCATAACAATATGCATACTCTTTTGATAAAAAAAGAATGTTGAACAAAGTGAAACCCGAACTCAGCCAGATACGTGACTTGCGCACAAATTGTAAAATGCCCCACAGCGTGTGAAATTATTTGCCTTTCATGCACTCAACTGGAGCATAGTAACTAGACCTGGCATTTTAAAGATCGGCCTTGTTTGTGTGAAAAATGAACAGAACATGATATAACATAAATAAAATGTGCCAGTTGACCTTATTCGTACAATGTAACCTATTCGCAAATGGACGCCGAGATCTCGTTAAGTGCGAGAGAGCCGCGAGACTTGTATTCGCCCCTCATATAGTGTTCCATCCTCAATCGTAATCGCGTCCACTTATCCGCAGACCGAGGTAACCATGGTATTTGAACATTGTGCGCGATGACTGTCAAGAATGAAACGCTATTTAGGAGCGAAAAACAAGTCACGTGATTTTCTCGCTCTCAATATCTCAGTGGCCATTTATGAATAATGTTTAATAATGAAAAATATTTAACACATAGACGTTTATATAAATATAGGTATTTAGAAATTCATATATAATGTGAAAATTATTAAATTATAAAATCTGTAAATAATTAAATAATAATAACGAATGTCGACGATTGATAGTTGCCAAAACTACTGCCAATGTCCGCATGATACTAAACGTTTGAAAGCTTTTCTGAAGTCTTTATTGAAGTAAGTGTAAATAAAAGGATTGAGCATGGAGTTAGCATAACCAAGCCACGTGAGAACGCTGAATAACGCGGGAGTTACTTTACAAGTGTGACAGTATGGCACTATGACGTTGAAGAGAAAGAATGGAGCCCAGCAAGCGATGAACGCTCCCATCACCACACCTAAAGTTCTCGCGGCCTTCCGTTCTTTAGCGAGAGAGAACCTATCCCCCTTTTTGCCTACATTTTTGCCTAAACTATTCGACTGTCCTGATATTCTTTCCGGTATATTTCTTTGCGTTCCGGGTTGATATGACGACACGTTCTGAGACTGCGTGTTCACGTTTCCCGATTCGCTTGCAAGTTCTACAGTATGGTCAGGATTCGTATCAGTTGTCTCGGGCCAGGCATACTGTCTCCCATTTGCGTGTGAGTTACTAGGCATCGCGCGTCTCCCACGCGATGAGTCTGTTGGGTTAGAAACAGATGATGAGTTCTGCCTGATCTCGCACTCACTAATGGCTAACACGTGCACGGTCCCGCCGCCCACATCTCGGATTTTCTTTAGCCTGCTCCTCGCAGCTTGAAACATTTTGTAGTACACAAATAACATTACAACAAGCGGTACGTAGAATGAGAGCAGCGAGGAGAAAATCCGGAATCCACCATTGACAAGTCCGCAGAAATGTGCATCCCCAGAAACTGTCTTCCATCCTATTGGTCGGATCACACTAATCAAGATGCAAATACTCCAACAGATGATTATCCCGACAAGCGCCCTCGTGGGTGTACGACGCACTGAGTATCGAATGGGCGAAATGATACTGAGATAACGATCGAGGCTGATTAAACAGAGATTATATATGGAAGCCGTGCAACACAGAACATCGAAGAAAATAAAAACATCACAGAAATGCTTCCCGAAGAACCACACGCCTCCCCATATCTCCATAAGCATAGCAATTGGCATAACGATGACCGCCAATATTAGGTCGGTAAGGGCAAGGCTAATAATGCAGTAGTTACTGGGTGTACGCAGAGCTTTCTCGGTAATAATTGCTAGAATAACAAGCAGTTGCCCACAGACGGTGATTACGATGAAAAATGACAGTATTAGAGCAACAACAATACCGGTGGTATAAACGACAGGCACAGTCGTATCCAAATTGTCTGCTAAACTGACGTCTATAGTAAGATTGAGATTGGCTTCCATTTTCATCAACATCGGCCCATAATAAGACTTCGTAGCTCGCGGCAACGACACGAGATGATGGTAACACCGTGGATTTATCGCGATGCTTCTTTCATATCTGAATTAAATTTGTAATCTGCAACAAAATATAATACATCTTTGTTTACTGTGTGTATAACGTTTTCGTCACATGTATAATTATAATTCCGAGACCCATTGGCCCGTAACGTCTTGATACATTGGGTTGTATAGTAAGATAATTAAATACCATATCTATAATTACTATATAATAATTTGCATAATCAATTTTTGCTTGATATATTTACATATAATTATCATGCCCTCCGTGACATGATTAATCTTTAAACAAGGGTCTAGCTTGAACGTTGAATAAGCGCTGCAGTTTTCTTAAGTCGCGCCCTCTGGCGAGAAAACACTTTTGTGACGTAAACAGGTGTGGACGCCGTTCACACTTGTGTCACTTCGGTTTTTATACGTGCTCTTCCAAAACTAACACTGTTTTGCGAGAGTCTTCACAACCACGCACTTCCCTGATAAACCCATCTGCGCTATACTGACGTCACAGGAGCGATGTGTCGCTAGAGGACGTTGTTTAAAAATTGTGAAAGTATATTGCGGCATATATATATATATATATATATATATATAATATTAAACGAACATACTGCCGTGTCTCATAACAGGTATATTGATAACTCGAGTTTGAGAATGCATACGACACCTAATTACATACAGGGACACTGTTCGATTATTCGGAACTGCAGGATAGATAACCACACGCATAAAGTATTAACATCCGTTTGCCGAAAGCTTATTAAACGCGCTTTCAAACATAAAGGAATATGTGCCCAGATCGGCAGGGGATTAGTGAGTAATATGGAAAGGTTATTGAGCGCAAAAAAGGAATTTCAGTGTTTGTTTGCCGGGTGTCCGGTGAGAATATGAGTACTGTGGTTGCTACAAGTGAATTAACTTCTATGACGACCACAATACGCATTCAACATAGCACATCACATTACAGCACAGCCCAACACAACATAGCATGATACACAACATCATACCACGCCACGCCACGCTACGCCACGCCACGCCACAACACGCCACGCCGCGCCACGTCACGCCACGCCACGTCACGCCAACACAACACAACACAACAACACGACAACACGACACAACACATTACAATACACTCTAAGACTGCTATATCTTACACTGTGGTTTATTTAGAGTGATGGCCTCCGAATCAATCCTATCAGAACAACTATTCGTCTCCACTGAAACACCCTTTTCATCCTAAATGAGGAAGTAGAGCGATTATATTCAAGAAAAAATGGGGTCAACTTCTACTTTTATTCACAGTCTAAGACCTTAAGAAGCATCTCAGATATTGCCATCTCATATAAAAATAAAGCCTGCGAGCACGACAGAATACGGTGCTCAACAAGTAACATTCATTAGACGTTTGCACTAAGCTATCGTTTTACACAGTTGCTGATAACATTACATAAAGTATTGTGTTTTATCGCCGCCAGACTAGTATGTCTATTCTAAGGTAGCGCATTGGAAACTACCGTATCGTGTGGCAATTACAATTCTATTATACACTCGATGACAGACTCTTTTTTAGTTTCTATCGTGTATAAAAGCTGATGGACAATAATGAGCATTTCAGAGATGACGTTGATGTGTCGAGGCTGGTCCATTATAACAGTTTGATAAGATTTCCTAAATTCAGAGAAAATCTCCAAAACAACTCAGACAACGGAGATAGTTGACAGTAGGGGTTGAATGCAATATGCGAGCGGCAGGGGAGGCTGTGCGGCGACTTTACCCGCTCTCAGAATATTAATGAAAATTGCTTGTTGTCATGACAACTTGATTACACGGCGTCCAACTTTAATCAAATCTTGACGCAGGAGGTACTCAGACGGGAAACAAGCATCGATCGTTTATCAGCAAGCTTGGAAATGAGCATGTGTGGCACATGGTCGTTAAAGGACGGTACGTTGGTGGTCACGATGTGGGTCCCATGCAACATACACAACGCGTGTAAAGTACAATGTTTATCTGTAAACGAAATTCGAGCACGCTCTATCTCATGACCGCCGTCCTTTAAGCAGAAGAACGAATTAAGTGTACCTACAATCCCGGCAAAATAAACAAACTGCAAAACCATTGTCCTGACGTCTATTCGGCTTGAAATAAGGGCTAAATTATTTCTTATATACGTATTTATGCATACATGTATTAATATTTGTCAATTTAACTAGTAATATGCCTTTCTAAAGTCATACAGGTAATTAATTGTACGACATGTGGCAGCCACGTAATAAACACAATCTACGTTTTATTCCTGCAAGTTGTTTTGATCAATGCCCCCCCCCCCCAAACCCCATCACACTGACTATTATGAAGGGACTAGAACGTATAAAGAATTTCGAAAAAAAAGATACAAATGTCATGAGAATTAAATTATAGTGAAATACGTCTCAGGTGGGAGAGGAAATGTCCATCAAAACTGTTATTACTACTTTCTTCACTAATATGGAATGGCAGCCAGCTATTGCACTGTATGACTAATGTTACAAAATAACCATTTCGTATTATCCCAATTAGTCTCCAGCTCTTATGACTAATTGAGTTTAAACTCGATGGCACTACAGGAGTGAGAAAGCGCAACGTTCTTTTTCTAACAATGAACTTATATGGAAATAAAAATCTCATGAATATTCGCCGACTACTTTTCGAGTTTTATACCGGTGATACGCAAACAATCAAACCAACGTTGGCAAAAAAAAACGCTAACGTCCTTGGTGAAGGGTAATATGTTATCAAGGACCGCGACCATTTATGTGTTTTCTGTATTTGTTGTCGGCACATAAAAGCTGCAAAAACTGACGTATGGGATACGCACGATATCACATTTGCGAGTATAGAATATCTGATTTATAAACCACGTTCAATATTTCTGATAGACTAAGTGTAAGGTCTCTAAGAACATATCCATCACCACTCGGCTTGCGCATTTCCACTTTTAATCCGCGCCCATTACACGCTATTTTGTAAAGGTAGGTATAGCGCAGACGCGGCCAATGATCAGACGCAGACGCAGACGTGGTCAGGCGCTTTGGCGTGGTCGTGAATTTATACGTTCGTAATATGTCTATGAATTATGTATTTAGAGCGAATTTCAAATATAATTTATTCACTCCATATTCATACAGTCATTGCGTTACGTATTCTCAATTAATACCTAAAAACAGCTTGTACAAATGTATAATAAAAACAATTTGATTGTTAATAATTAAAAAGTGACTGTGTGTGAAGGGAATGTTTAATAGATTTTACAAAGGTAAGAAAGTACATACTGTTCTTCTAATGAGCTAAATGGTATTTCACAATAGCACTGACATTTGCTTTTTTCCGTGAATAAGAGATTGTAAAGTTATTTATTTATTTATTTAGAAATGTCCATTAGTATCATCATTATTGTACGCACTATTTGATGCACTCATTTATACGTACTTGTTCACGAACCACTGCACTATTCAGTATACGTGCTGTAATGCCATTTAGCTAATGCTACACTACTATAAATACGAGGGTCGATATCATGAACGACATTTAATTATTATAATCTATGAACACTGAGGTAACGACGAGGGGAAACAGATTTCCTCTCAGTCTGCATTATTAAATGAAGTGACTAGCAATGCACTTTTTAAAAGTAAATATGGGACAACGCATTACGTGCCGTCACGTTGCTCAATTTATTAACTTCCGGAAAATCTCTGAATATTCATATATCAATTTCTATCAAAGTGTCAGGTATTTCAGTATGCTTCAGTCAATGTATTCTATTTTGTCGACTTTTTTTATTCACACTTCCACACTGAACTCTTTCACGCTTTTCTATTTGAATAGTTTTTTTATTGTACTCGTGTAAGCAATTAAAAATGGTCATACAAATTTGACGTACTGCACGTGTACATACCAAAGAGTCGTACAATGTATGAAATCATATCAAGTCGCAACATATGTTGTTCATATATAAAAAAAAAACAATTTGAAAAGAAAGGTATACTAACAACATGGTTAAGATTTTGTACTTCTGTTTGTATGTCGTTTTTCCTTGTATCAATGTCACTGTTTTCAAATTCACGTTATTGTTTTGCAGAGCATGATCGTCGATGAAGCGACAAAGTTGGTAGCTAGGGTGATTTCATGTTATGTCATCACTCATTCCAATTTCGCATGCGTTACATATTCATTATTGGTTTGTTTCATGAACGTAACTATGTGCACCATAATTTTGTTTTGCCAACTGAATTAAAGGTTCGAGCTAAATCTCAGGATATCTATATGTTCGAGTGCGTATCCACAAGTAAGAAAACAAGCATGAAACGTGGCGGATGAGACCCGTAAGACCAACTAAACCATTACAATCTTGCCCCTTTCATATTTTTTCCTACATTTACCAATAATTTGAATGGCAACATTAACAGTATTAAAAGCATCAAATTTGACATTTTAAAAAAAAATTTTACATTGTGATCAATCGTTAAATTTTAATTCACTAAATTTCAGATTTGTGGGGATAATAGTGTTGTTAATAGTGTAATGCTTGTTGCTGGGACAACCAACATCACCAATCCTTATTAGGAAATACAGTAGACTGTGGGGTTTATTTCAAAGGCCAATGCAATGAAATAAAAACAGTAACAATGAAGAGAAACTGATTAAATATCCACCAATCACTACAAAGACACCGTCACCGGGTTCATTATGATAAAATAGAGCTCTGCTTGGTGTTCTTAAATCTGGCATTGTTGCCATACCACGTGACCACTCACCACAACATTTTCAAACTGATTTGCACGCTACATGCCGAATTGAAGACTAATATGTTTAATGGTTCTGAAGCAGAAGATTTAAAAGCATTTAATGCCATTTTAGGGATACAATTAGTCATAGCGCAAAAAGTCACGTGATATTGATAG